GAAGACCCCCAACGAGTTGGCTTGGCAAAGTGACAGCATCAATGGGCTCAAGCATGGCAAAAATAGTGAGTTTGGCCCAGGATCAGGCAGTGTTTCGTTCTGCTGTGCATAAGGTCGCTATGAGTTGGTACCAATTCGATGGTACTTAACAGCAACAACAAATATAGTTAGAGAATAATAATAGTGCTCAAACTATATTCTGAATAAGAAAGACAATAATTAATCTTAGAGTGAAGAAATCTTCTCACATGTGATGAATAGGAACTGAGAATAACCTGTGAATATGAGTTTATGAATGTGGTAAATGACTCAATGTAATATTAAAAGGTAGAAAAAAATCCATATACGTATTTTAATCAGAAATATACATACTTTAAAAAGAGAGTTATAAACCATATACCAAGATATATCACAAGAACTTTTAGTAGAAAATTGACACATTGAAAGGATGACCACTGAAGTTGTTGGTGGGTATAGAGGGGCCACATTGGAAGTGTGAGAGTTTCTATATGTTCCCAAAGAATCTGACCCCAAATCCACATCAATTTTAACAGCAGCAGCAAGACCACCACCAACAACAACAAAATCATTGAATCGTTTTTGTGCTACTTCATTTACTTTATTTTCATTTAACTCTCATAACAAACAACTGGTGAGGTGTTATTGTTATGTGCTGCCAAGTTGGCTCCATCTCATAGTAACTCTATGCACAACAAAACATTGCCCGCCCTGCACCTTTCTCACAGTTGAAGCCTATAGTTGCAGCCCCTACATCAACACATCTCATTGAGGGTCTTCCTCTTTTTCCATGCCCCTTTACCATGCATGATATCCTTCTCCATAGATTGGTCCCTCGTGATAACATGTCCAAATTATATGCGAGAAGTCTCAATCATCTTGTTTCTAAAGAGCATTTTAACTGTACTTCTTCCAACCCAGGCTCACTTATTCTTCTGGCAGAACTTTCAATAATCTTTGCCAAAACCCTAATTCAAATGCATTGATTCTTCTCCAGTCTTCCTTATTCATTGTCAAGCTTCCACATGTAAGTGAGAAATAGTTGACACTATTACATTTATTTTATAGATGATGAAAGATGTGTCAGAGATGTTAAGTAAGTTGCCCAGGTTCAAATAAGTGACAGAGTCAAATTTGATCCTAGATCTCAGATTTTAGGTTTCTTGTTTTTCATTCCTCTGTTTACAGCTATTGGTCTCAGACATAAACTACCAGTTAGGAAGCATGTATGCATGAATCTCAACAATTGGTTGAAATTAAAAGTCTGATGCTCAACCCTCCCACCATCACAAATACACTGAAAATTATGTCAATGAGGATGATGATGATTTTTATTTGACAGCTTTTTCAATGCTGCCTTCAGCTAACATCAAGATGGTTTTTCCTGTAATAAAAGAGGTGGGAAATACTCATTTTTCCTCCTCTGGATGGTTGAAAATTGAATATTAGACAGAAATATGAAATAGAGACTATATTACCTCCTTTCCTTTAACTTCAAAAGTAACACCTAGGTGGGTAATGATAATGGGAAACAATCTCTAGAAATAACTTTGGAATACCCACCATAGCAGTTACAAAACAAAAGGTCTTATGGGAAGATACAATGTGACCTTCTGCCCATCTTACATAATGTGATTGACAGGATAGAAAGGTTTGAGGGAAATGTTAAAGTTTCTCCTGATTTGAACTAAGATAGGGTGATTGCATTTCATGGGCTCTTCTTCTCCCAAGTTCCTAAATGAAGTTCTTGACTCATTGGAGATTTGAGGTTGAATTTATTTCCTTGCTCTTGAAATCATTTTTATCTGGAGACATGCTTCATTCCATAGTATTGGGAGGTAAAGAAATTGCCTGAAAAATAAAACAGCCTCAGTCTCCATCCAAGCATAGGTTCATTTCTTCCTTCTTCCATTCATTCCAATTATCTTCAGCATCATTATCATTAATAATGAAATGAAATATGAGTATATATATGTATAATCCCATACCAACTAGAAGGTGAACGTTCAACTCAAGGGAACTCTGAACTTTTGTCTTTGCTAACGGAATCTATGGATGGTGTCAATGGTCAATGAGCTCAGATACTAATTAATAGGTTGAAGGTTCAAGTTCACCCAGAGGTGCCCTGGAAGACAGGTCTAGTGATCTAATTTGGAAAACCCAGCCATTGAAAACCTAATGGAGATCACTTTTATACCGACACACATGAGATTGCCATGAATCAGAGTTGATTTCATGGAAACTGGTGGTTCTGTTTATTTGTCTATTAAGCTATATTAATATTATACAAGGGGGCTTTCAAACTGTTCATGGAAAAAAATCCACGATCGTTTAACTGTTTTTCCACAAACTTTTTGACGTCTCCTTCTATATCTGGTCTACACAACAAAAGTCAAAGAGAGTACAATTATCATCTCCATTTTCCAGTGGAGATAGAGTACCTAGTTGAGATTTAAAGGACATTTATGGCTTCTCCTGGGTGATACAGCAAGAAAGTGACAAATTTTGAAAACATAAACTTAATTCTTTCTGTATCCAAAATGCATGTTCTTAAGTATTAGATGCACTGTTACCTGTTACAATTTCACATTGTGATTCCTATCGAGGCTTTACTCCAACTTTCCCATTCACACACTCTCTAACTCCAGGAACCCAAAAAGTAATTATCACAAAAAATCATTCCTTCCAGTTCCAATAGTCAAGAAAAAATCTCAAACCCTGGAGGGGGCTTTGCAGATCATACAGATAATTTTGTAAACATACTGACCTCCCGTGATTTACAGCAGTTTGCTTTGCACCACATGATTGAGATTGAGATGGTTATGCACAGTTCCAGCAAGGTGAGGATCAGCATTATAGACAGCAGGCCCTAGGGGAGATGATGTTTCATATCAAACCAAATGGACACATCCAGGGGGAAAGGATGGCAGGAAACCAGACTATAATATCTCCTACCCCTTAAATCAAATATTATGTTTAAGACAAAAACACACAACAGCGCTCTAGATGGGACCCAATTCCAATGCAAATACATGGAAAGATTATCTCTAGAGAGAGAAACAATGTATTTCTATATCAACCTATGTAACAAAGATATTGTAGAGGCAAGACTCTGAAACTATCACTAGTTCATTTCCATCAACTTGGTTCCAACTCATGGTGACCCCATATGTTACAAAACAGAGCTACTCCATGGGGTTTCCTTGGCTGTAATCTTTACAGAAATATACCACCAGCCATTTCTTCCACAAGACCTTGAAACCATCACTCATATCCATCTACTTAAAGAGAACGAGCTAAGAACTTTATGATGAGCACTGAACTTCTAAACTCAAGTTGGGGGTTCAAACCCACCAGCCACTCCTTGGAAATCCTGTACAGGGTCGCTGTGAGTCAGAACCCACTCAACAGCCCTTAACAACAACAACAACAAATTAAGGCAATGAGTAGGCTGATCAGATAAATAGAAAAGCATAGCCCTCCCACCATTTTGTTATTAGTACTTCATAGAGGTTTAGGCCTTTACACTATCCTTGCAACATAAAACTATCAAGCTGATAGTTTAAACACAGAATCATTTTTATTATTGTATTATTAGTGGGGCACTTAGAAGGTAACTGCAGTCCTGGTGTGGTGCTGTGGGATAAGCACTGGCTTGCTAACTGAAGGTCATAAGTTCAAACGTAACAGCCACTATTCAGAAACCCTATACAGAGTCATTATGAGTTGGAAATGACTCAATTACACTTAATAACAACAACAACAACAATAAAAGGGCAAATACGAAATTTTCCTGGAAAAAATACCACAAAACCCAAGGAAGATCAGACTGAGAAAAAGATACATGTAGCTAATTAAAAATATAATTTAAAAAATAAGATAAAAATCTTCTATGAGTACAGTTAGCAAACAGGAGTATTACAAGTGAGTCAGTAAGTAATAACTCATAGATTATCATGGACTAAGTGAATAAATTTCAAGGAAAATATTAACTTCTAAATTAACTACAAAAGAGAAGGAATACATAGACACAAACAAAAAATAATAATTGCAGGAGGTTATTAAGCTGTTTCCCTTTAAAATGACCATACTTAAATAAATTCAAAATTGTAATCATTTAAAATGTCAATGAATTCTTATTTGAAAATTCCACACCACACAGAAAGTTGTAAATCTCCCAAATTAGTTCTCTTAAGTAAGGAAATGCAAAGAAAAACAACTTTTTTAAACCATAATCTTTCTGGGGAATATAATAACAGCAGTTATAAACATAATGATAACTACATGGCATGTTAAGCTAATTTAACTGTGTATCCAAAGTTATCTCATTTAACCATTATGCAGATGTGCAGGACTGGACAATGTTTGCTTCTTTCTGTCGTACATAGGTCGTTATGAGCTGGAATCGACTAAAAAACAGCTAACAACAACAATCCTTATACCAATCCTATGAGATGGGTACTATTTTTATTATCATTTCAGAGTTCCGAAAATTAAAACACAGAGAGGTATGCTTAGAGTCACAGAGTTAACAAGTGGCAGAGCCAAGATTCAAATCAAGACTCCATAGAACTGACTGTATAACTGATTAACGCACTGTCTGATCCTGCACCAGTCTCACAATTATTGGTATATTTGAGTCTACTGATGCAGCCACTTTGTCAATTCATCTCATTGAGGTTTTCCCTTTATTTTGATGACCCTCTACTTTTCCAAAAGAAGCCCTAGTGGTACAGCGTTTAAGCACTTGGCTGCTATCCTAAAGCTTAACAATTTAAGTTGCTCTATAGAAGAAAGATGTGGTAGTTTGCTTCTATAAAGAGTTAGCAACTTCTATGAGGTAGTTCTACTCTTCCCTGCAGAGTCACGATGAGTTAGAATTGACTTTATGTCAATATGTCGACTCAAGCATGATGTCCTTCTCTCCTGATGATGTGTTCAAGGCAACATAGCATCTAAGATATCATTTTCTGTACATTTTGGATTCTTCAAGCTATGTTGTAATTATTTTTACTACAGCTTATTGATAGTTTTTTAAAACTTACTGTTGAAGAGGAGCACATGTAAATGCATAAGTCTGGCGACTGTGAAGACTGACAACTGTTGAGTGACTTGTTGTTATATGCTAAATTGATGGAGAGAAAAACAATTCCAACGAATGCAATGGTAGCACTGGCAATGCTCATCCCAAAACTATTCTGCATCTAAAATAGAACATGAAAGGTTTATTAATATAATCAGTAATACTTAATTCTCTCAGCTACAGCTCATTTAAACAAATATTAATGAAATGCTTACCTACCCAGCAATATCGTAGATACTTAGCAACACTGATGAACAAACCAAGAAAGATTCCCATCCTCAGGAAGCTTACATTTTAGCAGCAAAGACAACAAAACAATAAACACACTAATCAGTAAGTTATATTGTGCATTTAAATGAGAAACTCTTGTGGGATAAGGAGGATCTAGAAAGTGAAGAAAGGAATGGGGATTTGTGTATTAAATAGGTATGACTTATAGAGAGCTATATAAAGGAGCTGGATTCCTGGTGTGGCGCTGTAGGTCAATGTGCTGGACTGCAAGGTCTGTTTGAACCACAAAGTCAGTGGTTCAAGCTCACCAGCCACTTCTTGGAAACCCTATACAAAGCCACTATGAGTCAGAACTGACTCAACAGCACAACAATACATAAAGAAGCTGAGAGAGTAAGGATAAGGATATCTGAGGGAATGATCTCGAAGTCAAGTAAAGACTCAGCTCAAAGCCCAGAGTGTTCCAACTGTGCTCCAGGGAAAGTAAAGAAACCAAGGTATCTGGAGAAGGTGACCAAAGTGGATAATATTGAGAAATGAAGACAAGATTTAAAGAATCACTTCATTTTGGTCCTGATAAAATTGGAGAAAGACTCATTAATAACCTGCAATATACAATGACACCACCTTGCTTGCTGAAAGCAAAGACTTGAACCACTTACTGATAAAGGTCAGAAACAACAGCCCTCAGCATGTATGAAAGCTCAACATAAAGGAAACAATGATCCTCAGAACTAGACAAACTAGTAGCACCTTAATAAATGGAAACTTACTGAACTTGTCAAGAATTTCATTTGACTTGGATCCACAATGAATAGACTATGAAGCACAGACAAAAAAATTCAAATGATGTATTGCATTGGACAAATATGCTGCAAAAGACCTTTTTAAAGTGTTTTGTTTTTTGTTTAAATTATCACTTTGAGGACTAAATTATCACTTTGACCACTAGTCATTGTCCAGTTTTCATATGTATATGAAAGACCAAAGAAGAATTAGTGTATTTGAATTATGGTGCTGGTGAAGAATAATGAATTCACCAATGATTTCCAGAAAAATGCAGTTTTTCTGCCTTGGAAGAAGAACAGTCAGAATGTTCCTTAGAAGTGAGACTGGCAAGACTTTATTTTGTATGTTTTGTGCATGCTATAAAGAGGGACCAGACATCATGCTTGGTAAAGAAGAGAGTCAGTGATAAAGAGGAAGTCTCACCACAAGAAGAATTCACTCCGTGGCTATAACAATGGCCTCAAACATAGCAATAATTGTGCAGCTGGCACAGGATCGGACAGCGTTTTTTTGTTTGTTTGTTTGTTTGTTTGTTTGTTTGTTTTAAATGTTTTGCTGTGAATTATGTGATAGTTTACATGGGAGAACATTAGTTTTACATTCATTCTATCATATATCATTTCATTGCCATGGTTATAATCCCCTCGTTGCCTCATCAACCAACCAAAGGGTATACACTACAAGCCTGCATCCCAGTCGCCTGACAGTGTTTTAGCTTGTTGTACATAGTGTTGCTATGAGTCAGAACTGACTCAACAGCACCTAACAACAACAGGCCCTAAGTGACCAAATGGATACATATCCATCATCTAGTAACCAAAAGGTTGGCAATTCAAACCCATCCAGAGGCAATTCTGAAGAAAGTCAAAACTTATCCAGAAGATCAGTCTTGAAAATCCCATCAAGCACTTCTATTCTATAAACATGGGGTCACCATAAATCAAAATCAGCTCAATAGCAACTGGTTTCTAGTGATAAAATAAACTTTAGTTCTTTGTCTGAGGAAAATACAAACCCATTGAAGTGTGAGGGGAACACAGTGGCAGCTCTGTAGGATTAGAACTAGACTTCAAACCACAAGGTCAGTGGTGTGAACCAACCAGGCACTTGGTGAAAGAAAGGAAAGACTTTCTGCACCCACAAAGATTTAAATCTTCACAAACCCTAAACAGAGTGTCTATGAGTCAAACCCAACTCAACAGCACTTAACAAAAACAACAACAGGGGTGTGGGTGCACATATTGAAAAGAAAAGGTTAACATCATTAGATCTATATTTTAAAGGAATCATTCAGCTGTCTCAATTGAAACTAGTTAAGAGAGGAAGTAGGAAGACAGTGAGGAGTCCCATGAGGACAGATGATGGAAGATTGGGTGTTAATCAGAATAAAGATAAGAAAAAGGACCAACTCAGATATACTGTCAAGGTAGGGCCAACTGGATTTACTAACAACTTGGATGTAGGATTATGAAAGAAAGACAAGTCCAAGAAAAATTCTTAGTTTTTTTGCCTGGAAATCTGGTAGGATGGAGTTCATATCAGCTGACACAAGGAAGACTATAAATGGAAAAAAGTTTGATAATTAGGAGTTGAGTTTTAGATCTTTAAAATACCTAAAAACAATCAACAAACCTACTGTGACTGAGTAGATTCCAATCCATAGCAACACTTACAGAGCATATAAGGCTGTACATCAAAACAAGACAAAGGAAAATCATAAAGATTTAGTAAATATTAAAAGAACAGCAGTGAAGAAAATGAGCAAACAAAACAAACACAGCACAGAAAATTATGTGTAATAAACAAACTAGCATCATCACACACAAAAAACACACAGCAAAATGACAATGATCAAATTTTATCTATCACTAATTTCACTGAAAGTCAATGGATTAAATGCATCAGCCAAGGAACAGAGAGTAGCAGAATGAACAAGAAAACAGAATCCTTCAATATGCTTCCTACAAGAGACAGAACTCACACACACAGACAAAAAATAGACTAAAAAGCAAAGGATAGGGAAAAAAATTATATCAAGCTAGTCCTGACACCCTAGCACTGCTGACTCGGGAACATTCCAACACCAAAACATGTGTGTAGACTCTACTTTTAAGTAAATAAACTTAGATTAATTTTTCTTAGAGAATTTCACAATGCCCCGTCATCTAATTAAAGACATACTGGTTGCCCCAAAAGTAAGGCTAAAGGTCAATGC